TGCATTCAGCTATCTCTCCCAGTCTACCTCCTTCCCAGGAGAGGGAGAAGATCGATCTTACAAATATACCGCCCATGTATCATTCTCTAGCTCCTGTTTTTAGCAAACGTAAAGCTCTATCTTTACCTAGACACAGGCCATATGATTGCGCCATTGATTTGCTTGCTGGGGCTCCTCTACCGACTAGCAGGTTGTATAACCTTTCTGGGCCTGAAAAGACTGCCATGAAAGAATACATAGAGGAGTCTTTAAGATCTGGTATTATCCATCTTTCTACATCCCCCGTTGGAGCAGGGTTCTTTTTTGTCTCCAAAAAAGACAAGTCCCTACGCCCTTGCATCGACTATAGGGGTCTTAACCAGATCACCGTTAAAAATAAATATCCACTGCCTCTCATCGACTCCATATACGAACAGCTTCAAGGTGCCACCATTTTTACTAAACTCGATCTCCGTAACGCCTACCATCTCGTCCGCATCCGCGAAGGAGACGAGTGGAAGACTGCTTTTAAGACCCCTTTGGGGCATTTCGAATACCTGGTCATGCCATTCGGGTTGACCAATGCCCCAGCAGTTTTCCAGGCCCTTGTCAATGATGTTCTTCGTGATTTTCTTCAGGTGTTTGTCTTTGTTTATCTTGATGACATCCTCATCTACTCCAAAGACAAGACCCAACACACTCAACATGTCAAAGCCGTCCTGCAACGACTATTGGAGAACCAACTTTTCGTAAAAGCTGAGAAATGTGAATTCCACCAAACCTCCGTCACTTTCTTGGGCTTTATCTTTGAGAGAGGACAGGTAAGGTCTGACCCAGAGAAGATTAAGGCTGTAGTGGAATGGCCTACTCCTACCAACAAGAAACAACTGCAGCGGTTCCTGGGTTTCGCCAATTTTTACAGACGGTTTATTAAGAACTATAGTAAAGTGTCAGCACCCTTAACCCAACTCACCTCTACTCTTAGGCGATTTTGTTGGACTGATGAAGCCGAGAAGGCCTTTGCCGATCTGAAATGTCTCTTCTCCACAGCTCCCATCCTGTTTCACCCTGATACCTCCAGACAATTCATTGTGGAGGTTGATGCTTCAGACACAGGGGTCGGGGCCGTACTGTCCCAGAAATCACTAGACGACGGTAAGCTCCATCCCTGTGCCTTTTTTTCCCGTCGCCTGTCCCCAGCTGAGGCTAACTACGATGTAGGTGACCGTGAGCTATTAGCAATCAAAATGGCCCTGGAGGAATGGAGACATTGGTTGGAGGGATCTGAGCTCCCCTTCATCATATGGACAGATCATAAGAACCTTGCATACCTCCAAGGAGCAAAACGTCTTAATGCACGACAAGCCAGGTGGTCACTATTTTTTGCTCGTTTCCACTTTTCTATTACATACATTCCAGGGTCCCGCAACGTCAAGCCTGACGCCCTTTCCAGGCAATTCTCCATGACTGAGGACTCTGACACCCCAGAGGCCATCCTTCCATCCTCCTGCAAGGTGGGTGCTATAACCTGGCCCATCGAAACTGACATTTTAGAGGCACAACGAACAGAACCTGACCCTGGCACCGGACCTCCTGGACGACTATTCGTCCCCACCGCCATGGTGAGTAGGGTTCTACATTGGCTGCACACAGCAAGGTTCTCATGTCACCCTGGTGTCCGACGCATGCTACATCTGGTCAAGGCGTCCTTCTGGTGGCCGACCTTAAACAAAGATATCAAGGAGTTTATTTCGGCTTGCCCCACGTGCGCCTGGAATAAACATTCTAACCAACCTCCAGCTGGACTTCTCATCCCTCTCCCCGTCCCCAACCGCCCTTGGTCACACATCGCCCTGGACTTCGTCACTGGCCTCCCGGTCTCCAATGGTAATTCTGTCATTTGTACCATTGTCGATCGTTTCTCAAAATCTGCTCATTTCATTCCCCTCTCAAAACTTTCTTCTGCTTTTGAGACTGCCCAGGTGATCACGGACCACGTTTTCCGCCTCCATGGCATCCCGCAGGACATTGTTTCAGACCGGGGTCCTCAGTTCGTCTCCCAGGTCTGGCGGGATTTTTGTCGAGCCTTGGGAGCCAACGTCAGCCTCACTTCAGGGCATCATCCGCAGTCCAACGGCCAGACTGAACGCTGCAACCAAGCACTGGAAGCCGCTCTCAGGTGTGTTGTGGAATCTAACCCTTCATCTTGGTCACAGCATCTGCCTTGGATTGAGTACGCCCACATGTCCCAGACTTCGGCCGCCACCGGGTGGTCACCCTTTGAGGCAGCCATGGGTTTTTCTCCCCCGCTCTTCCCATCACAAGAGGTTGATGTGGGCGTTCCGTCCATCCACCGACATATCAGGCGCTGTCGCCGTGTTTGGCGTCAGACCATAGTGGCATTGGGCAGGACATCGGACCAGAACCAACGGTTCGCTGACCGACACCGTTCTGCAGCTCCCAACTACAAGGTGGGTCAGAAGGTATGGCTTTCGACAAGAGACATTAACATCAAGGACAGTCCTAGGAAGCTTTCCCCTAGGTTGATTGGACCTTTTCCCATTACTGCAATTATAAATAGGTCGGCAGTTAAGCTTCGGCTCCCGCCTTCCATGAAGGTCCATCCCACTTTTCATGTCTCTCTCATCAAGCCCGTCACTACTAGCGACCTTCACCCTCCTGCCAACCTCCCTCCGCCCCCCCGTCTTATTGATGATGCACCCGCCTTTACTGTCCGCCGTCTCCTGGACGTGCGGCGCAGGGGTCGGGGTGTCCAGTACCTGGTGGACTGGGAGGGCTACGGCCCCGAGGAACGCTCCTGGGTTCCTCGTGCTCGGATCTTGGACCCCGGCCTCATCACTTTGTTTTTCAGGGCCCACCCTGAGAAACAACTTCGATCGTCAAGAGCCGATCCTTGAGGAGGGGACACTGTGGGGTTCTGGGGTTTTTGTTTGTCTATCTGTTCACCTTCCCTCCACAGTTAATCAGCTCAACTCCACTCACCTGCTGCCTCTCTGGGAGGACTGCTACTTAAGCAGCTGCCTGGCACCTCTCCAGTGCTGGGACATCTTCTGCCATTGGACCTTTCACGGCTTGGCTCATCAGGTACTCTCCAGGACCTCTCTCACCACTGGATTACGCTCCTGTGGATTCACGGTGTTCCTCCATCCTCCACTTCATCCTTCGTTCCGTCTGGGTCAACCTGCTCCTCTCTCATCCAAACATCTTCCTCCTTCTCCTCTTCAGTCTCCTTCTACAAACAACAAAGTAAGATCAACCTAATCCTACAAATCAAATCAACAAAATATGCCATGAGGATGATTATACTCACCATCTCTCCATCTTCCCTTTCAGCTGCTCGAGTTTTTATTCTACACCTGTAAATAAATTATCACGTAACTTTTGACCTGTTTTCGTGTCCTTACTTCTCTTGGTCTGTCAATTGGGGGTCAACGTTATACCGATCCTGATAGTATTTCCCAGCCAGTGGACCCCCCAGGCAAGACTGAGGAAGTAAGGGCTCAGTCAAGTTCACAAATGAACAATTTAACTTCAATATTACAGCAAATCATAACTCAGCAGCAAACCACCCAAAGCAACCTCCTCGAATTGGGTGGCATGGTGAGCTCTCTACAGAAGGAGATGGCTACACAACCTCGTCCCTCCAGTTTTCTAACAAGACCAAATGGGGAGATTACAAAGGAACCAGACATTCGACCTTCAGAGCTATTTGAAGGTAACACACGCAAATGTGGAGGTTTTATGTTTCAATGTGAACTAGCATTTAAACGCGCCCCCATCACCTACGCCTCGGACTTTGCCCGTATCACCTACGTGGTGGGAGCGCTTAAAGGAGAGGCCTTACAATGGGCACAAGCCTACCTCCAACGACGCTCAGTTGATAACATGTCTTTCTCCAGTTTCTCCAAAGATTTTTTGCTAGCATTTGACCACCCTCTGCAACAAGAGGAAGCTGCACAGAAACTGTTTTCCTTAAGTCAGGGAACGAAGACGGTGGCCAAGCTCGCTATCCACTTCCGCATTCTTGCGGAAGAGTCCGGATGGGGGGAGAAGGCCCTCCGTAGTGCTTTCATAAGAGCTCTTAACCCACAGATAAAGGACAAACTATTGATTGGCAACATTCCAT